GTGCTCCCTCCTGCTCTTGGGGAGCCCCACTGCCCCAGATCCTGGACCCGGCGAGTCCAGAGTCCAGGGCGAGGGGCGGGGCTCCTCCGGGTGCGCCAGCCCCGCCCCCTCAGTGAGTCCCCACGGATCTCCTGCACTGCTCGGATCACGCTCTGTCGTCGGCTAGGCCCGGGTCGTACCCCAAAGCGGGCGTGGACCAGATGACCTTTCTCGGTCTGCTGGCTTGGGTCCGAGGCCTCCGGGCCCAAGTCCAGGGCTCAGGGGGCGGGGCGCTAGGGGCGGGTCCCAAAGGGGCGGGGTCCCGGGGTGCTTGAAAGGCGAGGACCTGGCGCGACCCACCCAGTCCCGCGCTCCGCTCTGCTCCCGCCCAGCCACCCGACCCGGACCCGGCGCCACCATGCCCAAGTGCCCCAAGTGCAACAAAGAGGTGTACTTTGGTGAGCGCACTCCACCCCCACCCTCCCCGGCTCGAACTGTGGGTCCCTGAGCCGCCCCACGCGGAAGCGCGGCCCAGGGTCCCCGCCGCGGGGCCGCTCAGGTGGGCCGGGGGCGCAGGGGGACTTGGGGCACCGCCTCGGGGCGACGCCTCAGCCTTGCCCGCGGCCGCCTGGATGTGCGGGTCGGGACCCCTGCGTCGGACGGCCCTCCATCTCTGTGCCCCGCTGTCTCTCCGGGTCCCTCTGGGCCTCCCGTCTCTGAGTCTGCCCGTCTCTGGGTCTCCCGTCTCCGGGTTCCGCTCTCTAGCCTCCTCTCGCGCGCGCCCTGGGCGGGGACCCCGAGGGGTAGGAAGGAACGCGGGGCTCTGGCCGCCCCTCCCAGCGCTAAGTAGAAACAGACGCGGAAACCGGCGTCCCGGGCGCGAGACCAGGCGCGCTCAGATCCCGGGCGCGGCCTTCCTGTCCCGCGCCCCGGGGCCCACCCAGGGGAAGGGCAGGAGGAGGTGGGAAGTCCCCCCGCCTCGCCACGGGGAAGGGCGCCCCTTAGGCCCCACCGCCGTCACCGGTGCGGAGGCGGAGGGCTCAACCCGGTAGCCGGCCCGGGTCCCGACCCAAGGCCCCCTCGCCTCCTCCTGCAGCCCCACCCAAGCCCTCAGGGGCGCGCTCAGGGCCGGCGCCCACCCCCGCTAGTTGGGCGGGACTGGTTGGGGACTGGAGGTGCCCCTCTCCCCCGTGGGGCACAGGTGCCGCTGAGACCTTGGGTGGGCCACCGGGCATGCGTGGGCGAGGCCTTGAGCAGAGGTGGCTGGAGAAGGCGCTGTGCGAGCAGGTGGGTGTGCCCCGTGTCCCAGGAGCAGTGTCTCACCTCACGGGGCGGGGGGCATGTCTGTCCCTCTGCAGCTGAGCGGGTGACCTCCCTGGGGAAGGACTGGCATCGCCCTTGCCTTAAGTGTGAGAAATGTGGAAAGACGCTGACCTCGGGGTCTCACGCCGAGGTAGGTGGGGCCTGGAGGGAGGCCGGGGCATGGGGGAGGGGTGACAGGCCCTCATGCGCCTCTCTCTGCAGCATGAAGGCAAGCCCTATTGCAACCATCCCTGCTACGCGGCCATGTTCGGCCCCAAAGGTATGCTCCCCGCAGCCCCCACCTGACCCTGACCTCCACAGCCCCTGGCCACCCCTAACCCGCCCACTGCTTCTCCGCAGGCTTCGGGCGCGGTGGGGCAGAGAGCCACACTTTCAAGTAAACCCAGGTACACCCCCATCCCCCTTGCCCTGCCCAGCCCAGCCAGCCCTGAGAGTGGGGTCCCCCACCCTGAGTGAGGTCCGACCACTCCTGGGGCCTGCACTCACCTCTGTCCCTGTCTCTCTGCACAGGTTTTGGAGACCCCATCCCTGGCTGCCCGCCGGGCCGCTGCCCCTCTAGGCCGATGGCAGGCCCTCCCCACAGGCACCTGGGCCTCCCCTGTAGACCCTCAAGCCCTCAATAAACCCGGACACTTGGAAGACCTACTTGTGTGTGCACTTCACTGGGGGAACAGTGCAGGGGGCTGCACCCTGCCGGGCACTTGCTCTTCCTGCTGCAGCCAGCCTTGCTGCCCACTGCCCTGGTGGGGGCGGGGGTACTCTGCCAGGGAGCCACCCTGGACAGCCCCGCGTTCAGCCCTGCAGATGCCCCAGCCCTCCTCTGCAGCTCTGGGATTGGTCAGTGGGAACATGAGGCTGCAGGGTGAATCCGCTGAGCTGGTTCCGTTTTTGAGAAGCTTTGGGGAGCTGTGGTGGGGAGCCCTCTCCTGCCCTCCCCACTTCCTGCTGCTCCTCCCTTGTCCCCATCCCCCATCGCCACCCTGCCGGACTGGGCCAGCCGTGCATCCACCCAGACACCTCATCTGCCCCCGTGCCATGCCCAGGGACTAGCAGGTGGCCGGCTGCCCAGTAGGGACTAGCAAGCGGCTGGCTGTCCGATGCGGACTTTGAGGTGTGGACTGGCTGGGCGGCAACGGCTAGGGGCTTTCTGAAAACTCCTGTTTCCGTTCAGGGAGCAGCTGCAGACTGGGCCACCCTCAGAGCCCTCGCCGTTCCCCCCACTGGCCACTCACACTCCGGCCCTGGCAGACGGCCACTGTCCCAGGGCTCGGCTGATCTAAGGAGCCCAGAGAGGTCATCTCAGCCTTGCAAGTGGGCTCAGCCCTGCCCCATGGCTTGGCTGGGGGTCCGGCAGGCCTGAGCTGGACAGGCGTGGGGGGCCCCAGGGCGGTGTGTGGGGTCACATGCACGCGTGCGCGCGTGTGTGTGTGAGATTTGTGTGATTCATAGAATTCCAAGGGGTGGGAGCTGGAGTGCTTCTGGGGACAGATGCAATTCAGCGGGGGAGGCGGGAGCAGAGGATACTAAGTGAGGCCCGGTTTCTCAGTGGTGGGGTGTGGGGGGTGGAGGTGTCATCTGGGGCCCCAGCAGCTAAGGGCTTGTGGCCAGAGCAGGCACAGAGGGGGGAGTGGGTGCACCGGAAGGTTCGCGCCGAGCTGCTGGGAGGTGGCCCTGAAAAGGCAGCAGAAACTCCTGGCCCCTCCGCCACCGCGTGGCTCAGTCTGGGTGTGGGGGGCAGACTTGGAGTGAGCGCTCAGAGCGCTGAGGCCCACAGGGAGAGTGGGTCAGCCAGGCCTCAGGCTGGGGAGGAAGGCACTCGGAGCAGAAGGCCCAGCAGGTGCAAAGGCCGGAGCGGGAAAGGGCTCATCGGGTTCCAGACCCAATGCGTCAGGAACCATACTGGGCGAAGGCTCCAGGGTGCTACGGCAGGCCTTAGCAGCATGGCCTCTGCGCTGTGGAGACAGAAGGCAGGGCCAGCCTGGAGGCCTGTGCTGGTCCCAGCCCCAGCTCAGAAGGGGACTGGAGGGGACTGAAGGTGAGGTGAGGGGCATACAGCAATACCCCCGTGCCTGTGGGGGAGGAGGGCTCTCGGGAGGTAAGCTGCCCTGGCACTTGTCAGGTGGCCACTGAGACAGCCTCCTGGGGTGGGGGTGCCCGGGTCAGAGGCCAAGTTCTGGAGAATGGGTTAGTTCCAGGGGGACACAGGGAGTGAGCAGCTGCTGTGCCTGAGACGGCAAGGGGAGCTGGTGGGGTGGGGGGGTGGGGGCGGGCAAAGGTGAACACCAGGCGGAAGGTGGGGCGTCAGGCGTGACCGCACTTCCTGTGGGCGTGGTGAGGGCTGGAGGGGGGCTTGTCTGGGGAGCACTTGGGATCCAGGGAGGCCTGCTTCCTTTCTCTTCATCACTTCTCTTTCCCTTCTTCTCTCCTTCCTTCACTCTGTCCTCTTTACAGCTTTATTGGGGTATAATTTCATACCGTAAAACTCACCTATGCACATTCGATGCTTTTTAACCAGTTCAGAGTTCTGCAACCGTCACCACAATCCAGTTCTAAACCATTCTCCTTAACCACAAAAATTCCCTCGTGCCCATCTGCTGCCACTCCCCAGTCCTGGTCTCTTTCCAGGCCACCACTGACCTGCCTCCTGTCTCTGTACACTTGCTTTTCTGGACACTTCCTATAGATGAAAGGCACGTACAACATAGTGTTTTGCATCTGCCCTCCTCTGTGTCTGCGCTTCCTGGCACTTTGACCCGCCATCAGTGGTGCCGAGAGGGTTCCGTCCTAGGGCTGACTGCCCAGCTGGCGGCCTTTTGGGTTGTTTCGGTTTGGCTGTTATGAACAGAGCTGCCTTGAATGTCCGTGAGTGGGAACACGAGTCCTCACAGGTTCCGGGCACTGGAACTGTGGGGTCGTCTGGTAGACAAGTCTAGCTCCGAAAGAACCGCCAAACTGCTTTCCAAAGTGGCTGTGCGGATAGTCCTTTGAAGACTGTCTCTTCAATGGCAGCAAGGAGAGGCTGAAGGTGCAGGGCAGAGGGAGGCCGGGGTGGGGTGGGGATGGGGGTAGGGGGTAGGGGGTAGGGGGCTAGCCGGACAGACGATGGACTGGACGGGGAGGGGCCAGGCGGGGTATGCAGGCGTAGGTTTGAAGGGGGAGAGAGTCGCCGGCCGTCCGGGAGGAGCACCAGCCCGCGCGCTGCGGGGTTGAGCCGTCGGGGTACGTCCCCCGGTACCCGGGCGCTGGCCCCTGCGTCTCCGGCCTGTACGCGCTGCGGGGTCCCAGGGCTTCCGGAGGCCAGAGAGGGCTTCCGGAGGCGGAGGGTCGCTCCCGCGTGTCGGTGGTGCCTCTCGGCTGCACCCTGAGTGCCGCCGCTGACCCTCCGGCGGTTGCTAGGCTGCCATTTGGTGCAAGGGGCTGATTGGTGGGGTCCGGACGAGGAGAGTCAGGTGTTGCCGCGATTGAGTCGCGGAGGGCAGACCCCGCGAGGCTCTCAACGCCGATGGGTCCCCGACGCACCGGAAATGCTTCCGCACCGGACAGAACAGACAGCACTCAAACGCCGGGGGCACCGCTCATTGGGCAGGAGCTAGAGGCGCGTCTCAGCCTACTCGGCGGTTGGGCGCGGGCCCAGCAGAGGCGGCACCTGAACGGTGACTGGGCGCGGGGACGCAGCTCTCGCGGGGATTGGTCGCGGGGACGCGGCGGCGGCGGCGCGCAATCTGAGACAGGCGGGCGGAGGCTGCATGGGGCGGCGGCGGCGGCGTCGCCGGGTGGACCCGGCGGACGCGGCCCGGGCCCTGCCCGAGGCCATCGCCGCATTGAGTCAGACTCTGCCCGCCGGACCCAGCCCCGAGACCTTCCGCCGCGCCAAGTTCGACCGTCCGGAGGCGGTGAGGCCAGCAGGGCAGGCGGCTGGGGCCGGTAGGGCTCCGGGAGGACGCGGGGACGCCGCCAGCCTCGCTGACCGTCGCTCTTTGATCCTCGCAGGCCCCCGCGCTCTGGCGGCTGCTCTTCCGCGTGCTCTCGCCGCAGCTGGCCGACGGCGCCTCGGCCTTATTCTCCCCGGGTAAGGCCCGCCTTCCTGTAAGGCCCGCCTGGTAAGGCTCTGGCCCCGCCCACCCAGAGAGCCCCGCCCACTGCACGACCACGGGACAGCCCTCCGTAAGGCCCCGCCCACTGCCCCGCCTCCCCGATGAGACACCCCGTCCCCCCGCGTGAGCCTCTTCCCTTCCCGCCTCCAGGTTAGGTCCCAATGCCCCTGCTAGTCCCTTCCAAGCATGGTCTCTGCTCTGCGTCCCGCGGGGGTCCCTTAGGAGTCTGGGTAGCGTCACCTCCAGTGGGTGTCCCTCCTGAGCTGGTGTCTCCTACCGCAGAGGCCCAGGTCCGCTCTGTGAAGTTGGCGCTGCGCACCCAGGGCTACCCTAGGCGGGCCCTGGCACAGCTCCCGGACGACGGCTCCCAGGGCGGCCGCGAGCTGCTGCTGGCCCTGGCCTGGCTCCTGGCCCGCGGGCCCCTGCCCGAGCGGCTGCTGACCCAGAACCGCGTGCAGCTGGGAGACGAGATGCCCGTGTGCGAGGTGGGTGAGGGATGAGTGTGAGCCGCGCCCAGCCCGGGCGGGAATCCTGGGTGTGGGCACCGGACCGGCGGGGTCAGCCTGTGGGGGTCAGTGTTGCTGCCCCGAATGCCCGGGTGAGCACACGGAGGCAGGTGAGGGCCGGGGACGTGCCCACAGGCTCCTGACCCAGCTCTTCCTGGCGCCCCCGGGATCTCTTGGCTCTCACTCCCAGGGGCTTCCTTTCTCTTTCCCCTTCGTGGTCTCTGCCTGGGGTGTGAGAGCAGTGCGTGACCCTTGCCCCCTCCCCAGTGCGAGGCCCTGGCCAGCCCTGGCCCTCCTGCCCCCAGTGTGGAAGCAGACGGCTGTGTGGACATCCGCCACCTGCAGTGGCTGATGGGAAAGCTGCGGTTCCGGTGGCGAAACCTGATGGCCAGTCAGCAGGAGCAGTGCGCCCTCCTGGGCAAGGTAGTGCCACGCATGCGTTGTCCACCCAGGGGCAGCTGTCCTCTGTGCTATAGAGGCCTGTCCAGCATTCCCATCTCAGGCTGGCGCCCAGCCTTTGGCTGAATGTGGGCCTTCCCAGGCCTGGCTGGGAGCTGACCTGTTGGGCACAGCCTGGGGTGGCCCAGAGCCTGACCCTAGGGCTCCATGTTGTCCAGGAGGGGGCCTAGAGCAGGTGTTGCTGGACATCTATGGGGCAGGGAATCAGGGGGGCAGGGAGCCTGCAGGGTCGACCTTCATGTCCCCAGAACTCCCTAGAAGCTTCAGACTCTATGTCACTGAGCACCGAAGTGGGCCCTGGGGAGCCACTGCTGCCTGAACACGAGATGGCGAGGAAGGCACCCCCTCCCACCGCATCCTGGGTGTGGGCTCACGGGCGGTGGGCAGCTCCCGTGGGCTTCCGAAAGGCTGGTAGGGCTCAGCTGTTGGGGCACAGGGGTCCCCACAGGTCCAGTGCCTGGTCTGGGCTGAGCGGTGGCTGGGCAGGTAGCCCAGGGCTCGCACCAGCGCAGGGCTCTCTGGTGCTGGAACACCCCGCCTGGTGCTCTGCCCTGGGAGAGGGTCTTTTGTTCAGCTAGCGTTTCCTGGGACCCCTCACTGCCTCTTGTCTGGGCTCCAGCTGCTCCTCCGTGTGGGACATGCCCACCAGTTAGCCTCCCTGCTGCCTTCAGGCCTCACCGTGCTGGAGTGCCCTCCCTGTGTCTGTGTCCCTGCCACTGGCCTCACTGTTTCTGCCACCACATGGGCCTCGCACTTGATGAGCTGAGGGGGAAGCAGGGGCGCCCCACTCTACCTATACTGCACCCTGGGAGCTGGGTGGGGTGCCCCTCCCTCTGCATGGGCCTCCTGGTGGGTACTGGGCCCTGGGCCAGCCTCCCAGCAGTGCTGACTACTCTCCTGGGCCCGACCCTCTCTGAACCGTTTCCTTATCTGTAAGGTCCTTGCCTAGCGTTGGCTGTGGGGAGGCGCCCACCTTCTCAGCCTGGGGTCTGCACTGCCTGTTTCAGATCCACTCATATACCCGTGGCTGCCACAGCGACCGCAGCCTTGGCCACCTGTCTGTCACCGAAACGGAGCTGCTCAGAGACCCGGAGGGTGGCCGTCAGGTGAGGGCTGGTGGGACCAAGGTGGGTGTGGCCCAAGGTGAGAAGGAGCCTGGGAGGGTGGGAGACCCAGACAGCAGACCAGCTTTGAGCTGTGGGTGTTAGCCAAGCTCACCATCTTTTTAAACAGTATCTATCTATCTATCTATCTATCTATCTGTTTGTTTATTTATGGCCGCGTTGGGTCTCTGTTGCTGCGTGCAGGTTTTCTCTACTTGTGGCGAGCGGGGGCTGGCTACTCTTTATTGTGGTGCGCGGGCTTCTCATTTCAGTGGCTTCTCTTGCTGCGGAGCTCTAGGTGCGTGGGCTTCAGTAGTTGTGGCACGCGGGCTCAGTAGTTGTGGCTCACGGGCTTAGTTGCTGCGCGGCATGTGGGGTCTTCCCGGACCAGGGCTTGAACCCATATCCCCTGCATTGGCAGGTGGATTCTTAACCACTGCACCAGCAGGAAGTTCCTTTTTTTTTTAAAAAAATATGTATTTTATTCATTTGGCTGTGCTGGGTCTTAGTTGCGGCACGTGAGATCTTCGTTGCGGCGTGCAGGATCTTCATTGCGGCATGCGGACCCTTAGTTGTGGCATGTGGACTCTTTAGTTGCAGCATGCGGGATCTAGTTCCCCGACGAGGGATTGAGCCTGGGACCCCTGCTTTGGGAGCACGGAGTCTTACCCACTGGACCACCAGGGAAGTCCCCAAGCTCACCCCCTTGCCTATGTAGGAGACACGTGCAACCTCAGGGCCTCTCTTGCCCCCAGAGCAGCCAGTGCTGCTGTGTGTGTGCACGTGGCTGGGTACACTTTGGGCAGTGGGAAGAACACAGGTGTCTGGGCCGGGCTGGCAGCCAGCAAGGGGGGCCACTGGAATTAAGGAAGACTGTTCAAGGGTCCGAGCTGACGGTGTGGGTACCTTGAGCTTGGGCATGTGTCACCTGTTGATGAGGAGGTGGGGGTTGGCGCTGCCCCACACTCTACTGACCTTCTTTTCAGGAGCCCCCGTCCATCATCACTGTTTCCTTCCCTTGGGCTCGCCTGGCCAGGGGGTCCTGGGACAGGCCCAAGGCTGGCCATTACTTGTGCTGGGCCCTGGCTTGTCCAGAGTGTGAGGCTGGCAGTGCCTTGTCCTGGGACACTTGGCTGGGTAGGAGGGCTGAGGCTTAGGGCAGGCCCAGCAGATCCCGCCTGTAGAGCCGCGTGCTCCTCGGGGGTCTGCATCCCCACCGTGGGGTCAGGGCGGCCACCTTGGGGTGCCTGCCCGGCCCGCGCTCCTGGCTTTACCTGGGCGAGGCCGTGCTTGGCCCTGAAGGTGCTGAGGCCGCATCTGGGTGTCCTGAGATGCCCTTGGCTCTGTTCCCTTTCAGGGGTGACTCAGCGAGGCGCAGGCCTCCTGCCCCTGGTCCCCTCCCTGGTCTGAGTAGAGCAGAGGCTGTGCCAGCTCCAGCCTGGTGCTGCCTGGGACCCCAGCCTCGGGGGGGGGGGGCCTGGGCGGGTACGACTCCCCTCCTCCTGGAGGGCGGTGCATGTTGGTGCGCCAGGACTGAAAACGGTGTGGCCAGGTGGATGGGGACAGTTGGCTTCCTTCCAAGGATTCTGGATGAGAAGCTGGTGGCGGCCTGGACCAGCCGACCTGAAGGGGCTGCGCTCTTGGGATGGGTCCCATGAGCTTCTGGAATGATCTCTTGTTGCCGTGTCAGTGGCCAGGCATGCTGTGGAGTGGCTGGGCAGCATCCTTGGTTACTGGCTGGGCCTGTAGTCTTCTTATATTGTGGCTTGGGATGCGGGGGTGTGGACACCCTCTGGGACTGTTCTTGGGAGCTGAGTAAGCTGCTCTTCTCACGGGCCAGCACGTGTGTGTAGCGGGGTGTGTGTGTGGTGTGGGCATGTGGGCTCCGCCCTCCCATGTCCACATCCCTCCCCCAGACCACAGGGCGATTCTCACTGCAGGCCTGCCTTCCCTGCTCCCCTGGCCATGGGCTGGGCCCTTGGCCTGGTGCTCAAGGCTGCCCCTGTCTGGCCCCCTGGCCCGGGAGCCCCTTGTCCAGCCATGTGCATCCCTTGGTTGCCTGGCGGGCATGCTGGTGCGCATGGCTCGGGCACCAGCCTCTGTGAGTGGAGGCCTGGCAGGGCTCTTGTCTGGCCGTTTGTCCCGGCCCCAGAGCACACTCCTGGGCTCCCTTCTAGAAGGAGTGGTGCCGGAGGCTGGGTCACTGTGCTGGCTGCTGTGTTCAGAGAGGAGCACAGCGGGTGCTGGCCTGGGCCATCCCAGTGGGGCCCATCTGTCTCTCCGCAGCTTACCGTGGGCCCTTGGGGTGGACCGTGCCTGGCCTTGCCCCTGTCCGGCTTCCCGAGGCCGCAGTGGCCTCAGCAGGCGGGACGGGAGCATGTGCCCGTGCACTGGACTGCGCGGTCCGCAGGTGCGGGGCTGTTCGGGCCGTGCCTGCAGGGTGGGGCTGGGGATCTGCGCGGCTGTGTTCTCTACCCTGGTCCCCGGTCTGTCCTCCGTCGCCTCCAAGCTGGGCGCCGTGCAGCCTCTGCCCTGCCTTTGGACTACAGGGAGGGATTCCCAGAACCCGCCAGTCTCCCCCATCCGGGGCCGCCCCGTACACCCGAAGCCTCGGGGTGCAGCCCTCAGTCAGCGGGGGATGTGGGGTGGAGCCCCAAGGGAGGGGGCGCCAGGACTCAGCCGCCAACCCTGCGGGACCCACGCCTGTGGGGGGCTGGCGGGTCACTGGTGTGGTCGGAGGCCTGGTAGGCTTGGCCTGCTTGTGCTGGAGGTGAGGCTGCCCTGCTGTGCCGCGCCCTGTCCTGCCGTGCCGCGCCCTGCAGGGAGGTGGCTCAGCCCGCGGGTGGGCCGGGTGAGCCACGGCGACTGAGCCAGAGACGGTGGGCAGGGTGTGCAGGGTCCCAGGCGCACTGGGTTCTCTGACTCTGTGGCCTTACTGGTTTGCGTTGCAGCTGCTGCGGAGGCTGGAGAGGGAGAACGCGCGGCTGCAGGCGGCCCTCGAGTGGCGGCGCCGGGAGCTGGTCTTCTGGCGGTGGATGGTCAGGAAGCCGTTCCACCCACCTCCTGTCCCTCCCCTCCCCTCCCCTCCCCTGGTCTGACCACAGCGGCCCTGGGGTGGTGGTGGGGTCTTCTCATTTTCCACACAGGAAGAGAAGTCTCAGGGAAGCCCCCCACACCCAGCCCTGAAGCTGGTTTCACACCCAGGCCTGTGGGTTTTGTGTGTGTGGCTCTTTCCAGATGTCTGTCTGTCCCATCACCACCCTTCCCAGCTCCTGGGGAGGCCCAGACTTCTCAGGGGTCTTGGCCTTCCGGAAGCCTGGCCTTTGTGCCTCCCTGGCCTCCAGGCCCACCAGGGTGACGGTCACTGTCCAGCTTGGTCTGCGACCCGGGGGCGGGAAGTGACCCTGGGCCTCTGTCCCTGCCGGCTGGGGAGCTGGGCCTCTGGTTGTGAGGCCCGGGCCTGCCGCCCACCCTCTCACTTGGGGTCCCTCTCTGCAGGACACGGTCCTGGGCGCCTGCCCCCCTGAGGCCTCACAGCCCACGTTTCTGCCCAGGATCCCCACACCAGGGACTGGAGCGTTGGAGCCCCTGGTGCGGGAGCTGCAGGCCCTGCAGGGAGAGCTGCGAGAGGCGGTGGAGGCCCGGCGGGCGGCCTGGGAGGCCGGGGTGAGGACTTGGGGCCCTGGCCCGGGTTGTGCTCGGTGGGGGGCTCCCACGGTGGGACTTGCACCATTTGGTCTGTTTGCAAGGGGGGTGGGCTCACCTGCCAGACTCGGCTGCCACCCCACCCTGGCCACCCTGATGGAGGTCTGTTCGTTATCCCAGGGCAGTTCTGGTGTCGTCCCTGCTGGCTTCCGCTCACACCATGTGGCCTTTTGGACCTGCTGGTGGACATGTGTGTCCCCCAGCCCCACCTGGGCGCCACCCTCCTCTCTCCATGAGCTGGACCGGGCGAGCACCGGGTTTGTGGCTGTGAGCAGTGCGCCACGTGCGCTGCATTGATTTCCTTTTTCTGAAGCATCTTAGAGTAAACTGCAGGCGTGGTTTTCCCCTCAGATACCCCTGGGGAGCATGGGTGTTTCCTGGGGGCCTGCAGCGTGGCTTGTTCAGGCCCTGCACGGCCATGTCTCCTCCGGCCGGGCCAAGCTGGAGCCCTCTGCCCTCTTGGGCAGTGACAGCTGGAGCAACGGTGACGTTTGCAGGCGGTTTCTCACAAGAAGGGGGGCCGGTGCTTGTCTGGGCTCAGGGCTCTTCACGCTTCCTTGTTGCGAACCACGGAGCAGTGCCCACTGAGGGTCGGGGTCAGGGTCAGGGTCAGGGCAGTTCCCTGGGGACACCGAGGGCACAGCCTCTTTGCGCTCCCTGCTGCCTGCAGGGTCTCTGGGATGGGCCTGCCCTGGGGGCCAGAGGTGTCCTCACCAGGTCGTGTCCTCGGCCTGGCGTCCCCTTAGCCTGGCGTCCCCTTGGGTCAGGGCCACCCCATGCCACCCCTCTGCGAGGGCGGTGGGAAAGTGGGAAGCCGATAGAGCAGAGGACATGCTGACCCCGCCTGGAGTGGTGGGTGGGGTTGGGGGTGGGTGCCCCGAGGGTCTGCACTCTGGGCTCTGAGCAGACCCTGCAGGACTTGGCCTGCTGGGGGCAGCCAGGCGCACTCCCCCTGCAATACCGCGGTGCAAGAGCTGGGCCTGCAGCTGGGTGGTCCTGAGGGCTCAGGCCCTGCAGGGCTGTCGGGGGTGATCGAGCTGCTGGCCCTTTCCCCGGGGCCCCACGGCCTCTGGCTTAGGGCTCAGATGCTCGGTGCGGGTGACAGAGCCTGGAGGAGCCGGGCCTTAGAGCTGGCGCTGGAGCTGCTCCTCTTTGGGCACTGGGAGGGGCTGCAGGACTGCTGGCGGCTGGGGCAGGGCTCAGGGAGAGCCGAGGCCCTGAGCCAGGGTCCTGGTGAGACTGGTCACCCTCTGCTCACTTGCCACGTCCCCTGTGCAGGTCGGAGGCCGTGGGCCCCAGTGGAGCGCTGCGAGGATGGCCTTGCGGGAGGCCGTGGGACAGGACCTGGCCGCTCTGCGGCAGGCCTGCGAGCGAGGCGGCGGCTGCAGCCTGGCCCAGCCCCACGGGCCCCACCGGCTGGTGAGGACTGAGGCTGGGGCGCCCGGGGGCCCAGGCCTGCGGGCCCCTGAAGTGATTGAGGCGCTGAGGAGCCAGGAGGCCCGCCTGGAGGTGGTGCTGCGCCAGCTCCAGGGCCAGTGTCGGCAGGAGCTGGCCAGGCTGGTGGGAGCCCCGCCCGGCCCCGTCTGGATCCTGCCACCTGGACGCTGACGTTCCCTGCTCCCGGGGGCACCTCCCTCAGCCTGGCTGGGCCTTGGAGGGGCAGATTCCAGGCCAGGTAACTGCAGGGGTGACACAGACACAGCCCCGGTGGTGCAGGCACACTGGGCCCTGGGCCCCGGGTCCCCACTTTGGGCAGTACCCAGCCCCGCGGCCTGCAGTGCTGGGGGCAGGCCCATTGTGGTGGCCGTGGGCATTCAGGATCTGGAGAAGACCCGGAAATAAATTGTGGAGGCCTCCTTGCAGGGCTGAGGCTCCAGCTGTCCTTCTGCCACCCTTCCGGGTCTCTGTCTGGGGAGGGGATGCTCCCCTCAGGCCCAGGGCGAGGGGTCCCTGGGCGGTGGTGGCTGAGGCTGGTCTGGTCTAGGGCTGCCCAGGTGCTGGACGGACAGGCATGGCCTGCAGCACAGGGTGGGCGTGAGGGCCCCGGGGATGCAGGGTCCTGGACGCACCCTTGGAGCACCCTCATCCTGGGCTCCCTTTGTACACCCCACCTGGGCCACGCCTATGCCTGGTGTGCGTGTGCGTGTGCGTGTGTGTGTCTGTGTTGGGCAGGGACGCCTGATGGGAACCTTGGGTAGTGGGGGGACTCTGCTCCGTTTCTGGGGGTGGTGCCCGGGGGGGGGAGGGGGAGGCCACTGTGGACAGAGGGGGCTTTGTTCCCGAGACTGCTTGGGGAGCTGGGCTCCGCCCTGACAAAGAGCCATCTGTGTCGGGAGGATGCGCCCCCAGCTGCCAGAATCGGGAGGATGCGCCCCCAGCTGCCAGAACAGGCTCCTCTCCTTCCCCGGAGGCTTGGCTTGGCACCTGCCCCGCCTCCGTTCCGCCAGTGGACATGGCCTCAGCCCGGCCTCCCTTGCCGGGCTCCCCTCTGCCCCAGGGTGCTCCACCCGGACCTGGTGCCGCCAGCTTAGGCCCCAGGGCCCAGCCACAACGCCTTCTCACTGGCCTTTGCTGTCCGCTTGGGGAGTGCTGGCTCACGCCCAGGGGCACTGGCCCCTCTGGGCCATTCTGGGCCTCCTTCGTCCCGGGTTGGGGCACACCTGTGGCGCCTCTGCACTGGCCTCGGGAGCACTGACCAGACCGGGGTCGAGCCGGCGCCCCTTCCGGAGTGCCCCCTGACCCTCTCCTCACAGGCTGGCCCCAGAGAGCCTCTGGCCCGAGCCCCTCCCTCCAAGGCCTGGCCCCCCTCTCCTAGCCCCTCTTATGGGCTCCCTGCTTGCTCCAGTCGGGTCCAGGGCACACGGGACTCAGGCCCCCGCCTGCGGCCCTCGAGTGTTTAAAGGCCCTTCTGGACCCCCTGCTGCCATCCTCCTGACTGCCCCACGGGGCAGGTCCACTGAGGATTCCCTGAAGCCGGGATGGCCACTGGCCCTCGGGAATTGACGTTTGCAAACTCTGTGTCACGGAGCTGTCACTTCTCAGACTGATCTGTAGATTCAGTACAATTCAATCAAAACCACAAGCGTGTCTGTGTGTCTGTGGGACCTGGGCTGGTGATTCTGAAACACGAGGTGGAACCGGCCCGAGAGGCCAAGCTGGGGGTGAGTGGAGCCGTCCGCGGTGACCCCGCGAGCCAGGAGCTTTCTAAGGCTGCAGGGGTCAGGCGTGGGCCCTGGGGTTTGGCTCCTACTGTTGCCGTGATAAGTTAGCGCTTGTAAGTTAGTGGCTCACGGCCCTGACCCTGCCTTCTGTGGGGCTGAGGTCTGGTGGGCAGGCAGGAGGCCCCGGGGAGAATCCACTTCCACAGTGGCCTCACGCGGGCTGTCATCTCCAACACTCCCCAGCCCCGCAGCCCCGCAGCCCCGCGGCCACTGCAGTCCCCTCTGCACGTACCAGGACAGGTTCACAGGCTCAGACCCTGCCCACCAACCCCAGACCCACGGGACAGACGGGGTGTGGGGCAGCGTGGGCCCACGCGTGCACTGGAGTCTGGCCTGGCTGCATGTGTGAGGACTGCACACTGGGGCTGCAGGGTTCCCCACCGACCCACAGACACAGCCCTGCAGGAGGTGAGGATGCCACGCTCCCCTCTGGAGTGGCTTCCTAAGACCACACGTCAAGACTAGGAACCTGTTCGTTAAGAGACACTGTAAAGACAGCGGAAAGGCAAGGCTGAGCAAGCGGGAGTTTATCGCAACACCTGTAGCCCGTGAAGAACTGGTGTGGAGCAGATGGGGCCGTCAGCCCAGGGGCAGACACCGCGGAGAAGAGGAAACGGGAACTCAGATAAGTCAAACTAACCAGGGACGTGCAGGCGCGCTGTGCGGCCGCAGGTGGGCGGGGCGCCGGGAAGGGGTGGGGCTGGATTCGAACTACCGCCGGGAAGCACACGGGCGCGTCTTGTGAGAGGCCCCCAACCCCCTCGGAGTCGCGGGGGCAGGAGCGGATGTGGGCGGTCCCTGCCGTCCGCCAAGGGGGGTGGGTGAGGGGGTGACGGGGACAGCCGGCTGGCCACACTGCAGCGGCCTCCTGGGATCCGGAGTCAAAAACCCTCAGAGTCTTCTAGAAAACACAGGCATGTCGCAGAAGACCACACACAGGGAGGTCTTAAAACAGCCATGACTGGGGTAGGGAAGGGATTCTCATCTGCGGGGAAGCTCAGGACAGCGGGGCTGCCTTGCGGGGCCTTGTGGTCGTGGGTTTACCAACGGTCCTTTGGGTGTGTCAACCACGATGTCAGAAACCGAGGAGCCGGTCCAGGTGCCTTCCCGCGTCACCCCCACCTCCACGGTCCTTTTGGTGCCCTACCCCACTACCCACTGGCCGGCCTCCCTCTCCCTTGTCCTTATCTGCATTGGTTGACCTTGGCTTGACCTTGGCTTGGGGGGCGTGGCTGGCTGGTCAGGACTGAGGCCCCCCGGGGCCCACCTGCAGCCTGAGGGGTATTCCCCGTGGCCTGCTGAAGTTCAGGTTTGGGTGGACAGGAGCATCTCTCAGTGGCATTTAGGAGACAATCCCTGTTGGCGGGCACAGTCGACGACCTTGGTCCGTAGGCCCTGGCACCCGTGTCCTCGCCTGTGGGTGTGGCTGGTGGCCATGAAGTTGTGCCTCTCGAGCTCCGGGGCCCCCAGCTGGGTCCTGGGTGCTGAGTGCAGCTGGGCGCCGGCCTCTCTGTCCTTCGCTGAGCTGGGCTGTTGCTCCTCTCATCCATCAGCCAGGATTCCCGAGGTGCCCAACGTGTGTCAGCCCCGGGGCTGGGTGCAGGGTCTAGGGGAGAGCAAACACCATAAACGAATATGCATCAGGGGGCGATGGCCCTGGCCGTGCGGGGTCAGGGCGCGAGGTGACAGAGTGGGTTGGTCAGAGGAGGCCTGCCCAGACAGTAAAGGAGGGGAGGAGAGGGAGCTGAGTGTCCCGCCCAGGAGGGTGGTCCAGGCAAAGGAAATGGCGTGCTTATGCTTATGCGGGGGCTGCATGGGGGGCGTCTGGGAGGGGGTAGGACATGAGCTCAGAGGTGGGGTCGCAGAGGGGCAGGGGCTGCAGGCTTTTGTGCCCCAGGTCAGGATTTCGGAGTTTCTTCTGAGCGGGGTCGGGGCACCGTTCAGGGCCTGGTCCCGTCTTCGTTCCAAAAGGCCCCGTCTGCCCCGGGCGGGAGAGCTTCTGGGGTTCAGCGAGAAGGCGGTGAGGGGTGTTGGGCCGGGCCCTGGTGGGCTCTGGTGGACTTGGGGCCTGGGATCTGTTGCTCTCTTGGCCGTGGGGCTTGTGAGCTGGTGGCCCCTCTTTTAAGTTGTTTCTCTTCTTACCGTCTTCATTTACAATTCCCAAGTTTTTTCCTTCCCTTTTAGGGACCATTTTTTTAAATTGTGGTAAAAAAACACATAACATTAAGTTTGCCATCTTAAGCATTTTTTAAAAATTGAAATACAGTTGATTTACAATACTGTGTTAGTTTTGGGTATACAGCAAAGTGATTCACACACACACACACACACACACACATATATATATATATATATTATATGTATATTTTTTTCTGATTCTTTTCCATTATAGGTTATTACAACATATTGAATATAGTGCCCTGTGCTGTTGCCTTTTATCTGGATTGGGGCGGTCATTTCATGGTTAAATAAATTTGTCAAAGCGCAAAAAAAAAAAATCCTTGTTCCCTATTTTATGTATAGTAGGACTGTATCTATGAATCCCAGGCTCCTATATCCTTCCCCACCCCCTTTCCCCTTTGGTAACCGTAAGTTTGTTTCCTATGTCTGTGAGTGTGTTTCTGTTTTGTAAATAAATTCATCTGTATTATTTTTTAGTTTCCACATACAAATGACATCATGTAATAGTTCTCTTTGTCTGACTTACGTCACTTAGTGTGATGATCTCTAATTGCATCCACGTTCCTGAAAATGGCATGATTTCATTCTTCCTTCTGCCATCTTAACCATTTTTAAGTGTACAGTTCAACAGTGTTAAAATATTCACACAGCTGTGCTACAGATCTCCAGAACTTCTGACATCTTGCAGCACAGAAACTCTGTCCCCACTAAACACTAATTCCCCCTCCCCCAGCCCCGGGCCCCCACCATCCTTTCTGTTTCTGTGAATCTGACTCTTCTAGGGACCTCATATGAGTGGACTCACATAGGATCTGTCCTTTTGTGACTGCCTTATTTCACTGAGATAAAGTCCTCGAGGTTCATCCGTGTTGTAGCAGGCGTCGGGATTTCCTGCCTCTTTAAGGCTGAGTAATAGACCTCGATAGGCTTACCCCCCCCATCTTTCAGTGGACATTTGGGTTGCTTGCAGCTCTTGGCTGTTGTGAAGAACA